CGCCGCAGTGCGCAGGCCCAGCTCGCTGCAGAGCCTCTTCGGCCTGCCCGACGCCGCGGGCGCCCGGGACTCGCGGGACAACCCGGTGCGCAAGAAGAAGGCCGCCAACTTGAACAGCATCATCCACCGCCTGGAGAAGGCCGCCAGCCGCGAGGAGCCCATCGAATGGGAGTTCTGAGCGCCCGGGCCAGGTGGAGCGGATCGCGGGCCCGGCCCGGCCAGGCCCGGCCCAGCGAGGCCACCCGAGCCCAGCCGAGGCCTGGACGTGTTGCGCACTTACCGCCCTGCGGGCCACAGGGCAAAATCGCCATAGGCCAAGGTGCATATAGAAAACAAAGGAGCATTAAGCCCAATCTATGTCGTGTTTTCAAGGAAGAAAACGGAAATGTGTAGTCAAGCTTTTTTGTACCCTCAAGTGTTTTTTTTATTGCCCTAAGTGATTTCCACAGGTTCTGGAATAACTCTTTACAGCTTTGCCTTGCGCCCTCCTCTTCGTGTGGGCTTAAAAAGAGAAAAAAAAATCAAACCCACATATTAAAAGGGGGCTTTTTATCTGCCATCTAATGGCTCAGAGCGATAATACACTATTATCTTCTTAAACCAGGAAAGGGGGGGGGGATTTTTCAGAAAAAAAAATTTAAAAAAGAAAGCTTTTGTAGCTGCCCAGTTGCCACTAAGAGATTGCACAGTCAGGCCGACTCTAAACACACTAGTTTGGATTCCTAAATATTTTCAAGAAAAGAATCTTCTCGTTTGAAACTTTGAATTGAAATAAAACACATTGACTCCACGTATTTTTTAACAGAAAAAAAAGACAAGTCACATCAGGAAAGTATCTTGATTTCGTGGTAGCTGACGTAGTGTTTTCTTGTACGTGAATAGACTCCTGACGTAGTACACATTGATCCATAGCTTTAACTAACTCTGGGCTTTTGCTGGCCAGAGTTTGTTTAATACGCTCCATTCTAGGCCAAATCAGGACAAAAGAAAAGATCCGAATCTAGGTATTTTATAATCTGCTTTTTAACCTCTAACCGGAGAGCACGTTGATCAGACCTCATATGTCGGAGGTTTAGGAGACAAGTTGGAACTGTAGCGTGAACCCATTCATTTTGTTTAATTTATGGTGTCTACGTCTATGTGTGTCCTGTCCCAGCCTTGCAAGAAAGGGTAGGCCAGCCAGGTCGCAGCTGGCAGTGGGGGAGGGGCACCTTTCCTTGGCAAACAGAAGGCACCTCCTTTGATACCACTCCCGGGTGCCTGATGGGCCCAGGCGCCGCTGCCCTCCCCCTCCTCCCCACAGCGCCATGAAGGCGCACTATGTTTCCCCTCTTCCCACCACAAGCACTGAGGACCTGTGATCCATGTGGGAAGAGCTCTTCCCTGCAGGAGCGGGACGGGGGCAACCTGGGCTCTGCTCCCACCCCTGTAGAAACAACCCAGACACACCAAAACGTTGATGCTCTTTGCTTCCAACCCAGACCACTGGCCCTTTCCTTCAGTTCTCCTCTTGGGAAGTTCTTTTTATGCACAGTTTAGAGCAGTCTAAGTACAAATCAACAAAAAAAAAAAAAAAGAGAGAGGAAAAAAGTCTAACTTGTCTCTGATTCCTCCCGTTGTCTATGTGTATATGCGTGAGTTCAGAGGTGGATGGGAGCGTGTGTGCGTGCGTGTGTGCAATTTTCTACGTCCGTGTATTTTCTTAAGTACCTGTGCACACATAGAGTGCAGTACTGCCACCTTTTTCAATAAGCTGGTTTATCAGTTACGGCTTCTACAAGTTTGCTAATTTAGACTCCTTTAATTGCCATATCTTTAAACTAACAATAGATGATTTCGGTATATATATATTTTTTTTGCTTATTTATAGGTGCTGTATTTTATTATCTGATTGTTAGGAAGGGATGGAAGGGGCAAATACTCTTTAGAGGGATAGACTGCCGGCAGTATTGGGTATAATTTTCAAGATGTAGCTGTCATACTGTATATTACTGATTGAAAGCTTTTGACCGTATTGTGTATCATGGAAACCTTTGTCTTAGGTCAACATCTTTGGATGACATTTTAATGGTGCATTCATTATTTCTTAAGTTTAATTAATATTACTTTGTTCTTTTTTTCTTTTTTTTTTTTTTGGATTGGGGGGTGGGAGGGAGTTGGAATTTTAAATGTCTGCTCCCGCGGTCACACAGTGTGTTGATTATTACTTACTTACCTTGTAGGACTCAGACTGTAAAATCCAAAAGCACATTTCTTTGCATGCTTTAGAATTTACGTATTTCATTTACAGTCTTTAAACCTACAACTGCAGCACTTAAGAGTTTTCACAGATCTTAAAGAGTCTCTACACTAAAGACAGTGTCTTTTCATGAATGGGAAGTTTCCAGAAGGCTCTAGGAGGCTGGGATGCAGGCCCTTTGTCTTTGGTTGTGGATGTCCACACTTGCAATCTGGCTTAGTGGGACGATAATTCATGGCAGAGGGGCCAAGAGGAAATGGATTGATATCCAGCTGGAGGCGGGCTAACAGTGAGGTCACACCCAGAAACCCCAGGACAGAGAGAGGCTGAGCAGCTGGGACTATGGGGTCCCCTCCACTGAACCTCAAGGGGACTTTGCCCTCTATGAAATGCATCTCTTAAGACCTAACTTTCATCACCCTGAGAGCGGAAAGTAACAGACTAGTAGGCTTCACTGAGGAAACAGAAAAGTTTAGATTTGTCTGGTTCTCGTGGCTAAATGGTTACAGTCTAAAACAGCCATGCTGGAATTCAGTCATGGGCGGATGGAAGGGGAGGGAGGTGCTTCTTATGTTTGAACTCAGTCACTGTTCATTTCCACTCTTGTTCTTCCCGCCAGACTTCCATCTGGATGCTTGATGCGATCAGTTGGTTAGATTTTTCTTACAGCTCTGGGTATATATTTGTTCCTCTGTTGTCTTTTTTTTTTTTCCATTGAGATCCTAACCTTGTGATCTTTTTGGGTTAAGCTACCACTGTCTGTAATACTTCTAAGAGCTGCCACAGGATAACGCAGAAACTTGTGTCCAGGCCCCTCAGTCTGAGTCTAAGGGTTCATTTTTCATCGTGATAAGCAATATTCAAGTGCCTTGAACAGCGCCCCCTCGTGGTGACCTCCACTGGCTGGCTGGGGAGCCCAGCCAAGCTCCCGCAGGCAGCCAGCCCTCCTTCCTCTTTATGCCCTGTCGGCTTAAAAAGCTAATTTGTACCTCTCCCCAGGGGAAATGGTTCCCTATAAAACACTAACACTTAATTATAAGCTCCATTATACCATTTTAAATGGCTTCTTTTTTGTTAATTGGAGACAGCATTCATAACTTCAGACTTCTGCCACTACTTGGCTAGCTTGGTGGAGGGCTAATTTAAAGTCAGTGTTCCCATCCTGCCCGAGTTCCCCTGTGCTATCCAGGTGGCCAGTGTGGGGGTTCTGTCTCAGACCTACTCACTTCCCCCAGGCCTGGATCCCTGCTCACCTGGGAGTCGGAATGTGTGACTGCCTACCCATTTCTGCCAGACTTCCCACTAGAAAGGACGGTCGTGGCTATGTGCCAGACTCTGTTATTCTAGCTAAGTCACCTGAGATGGCTTAGGGTCTGGCCCCCAGGATGCGGATTTGGGAGAGGCGGTAGATCACAGCTCTCAGCCCCGTCCTCCAGGGCAGGTCCTCGAACCCCCGAAGTACAGTGTCTCCCCACCCCGCAGCCTCCTGTCTACATGTCCCCCTCCCCACTTGAAAACCATCCTATCTGGCACAGGTAGCCTGGTCTGGCTGTAGTACCCGCACAGAGAGCAATGATGCTGTGTCTCAGGCCTAGGATCATGGCAATCAGACTGTATTTCTTTGTTCCTTTAGAGAAAAGTCAGTCAGTGCTGAGCCTTCTGGGCTGTGTGTTCTGTTCCCCTGACTTTTCCAACAGATCTTGCTGGAAAATGGCTGGGGTATGTGCATGTGCCCTTCTGAGATTAGCACCAGTGACCTGGTGATGACCCTAGTAGAGCTAGGCCAGGAGCAGCTGTGCTGGGAGATGGCGGCACTGCAGGCGTGGCGGGCCCATCCCTGGGGGCCTTAGAGCAGCTGGAACATCACTGTCCCCCCTCATTTGTCTTCACACTCCTCATTTGTCCCTGTCTACCTCACCCGGGCTCCCCACCTGATGCGGCTAGTGGACTGGGGATGCGCGGCTGCCCGCCCACCAGGCCAGCTTTTTGTGAAGACAGGCGTTTGTGCCATACGGGGTTCATGGATTTGCTTCTCCTGCAGCTGTGTCCTGTGCAGGAGTGGCCGAGAGGCCTTTGCTGTGTGAGCTTCCTGAACAGCTGTCACGATCCATCCCAGCCGCCCTGTTGTCCTGGGCTGCCCTCAGCTGGCACGTGATCTGATGGATCACCACCGCCTTCCATGTCTCTCTCACTTCTGGCATTGTGGTGGTGACTGCTGCAGCATGGCTGCTTTCTCCCTTGATCTGCAACCATCTCAGGCATAGGGAAGGGTCGTGGGCTTTTTTTTGCAGCCTGCATACCTTGACCTCCCCAAATAGCATACCTGTAATCCCAGCTTACTTGGAAGGCAGAGTTGGAGGATTGTGGTCTGAGGCCAGCCCTAGGCAAAAATGCAAGACCTGATGAAGCAGAACAGCTAGGTGTGTGGCTCAAGTGATAGAGCACCTACCTATCAAGCAGAGGCCCCTGAATTCCCGCCCCAGTATGGCCAAATAAGAAAAAGGAAGTTCCAGTTTTCCATTGCTGAAGAAAAGCAGCCTCTAGTGCTGAGACTGCATGTTGGGCCTCCACTGTGGAGGCCCAAATCTTCTTCTGATGGGAATTGGGAATCAGGATTGTGTGGTTTGGTGGTCAGGCATTCATTCACAAGGGCAAGGCTTGTGTTCAGGTGGTCAGGTAGTGACCTGGGACTCTACCAGAACTCCCCAGGGCCTAGCCTGGCCAGCACTGGGCCAGCTGGCCCACAGAATGGTCCAGTTGACTACTAAGTTCACTCAGCAGATTACCCTTTCTGTAGATGAAATCTACCAGGATAAAAAGGAAAGCAAGTTCCCCAACAAAGTTCCAGAAAGATCTCATGTTTTAAAAAAACTTGAGAGATGGGCTGAAAGCCAAGGCCAAGACCTTCAGGGCCAGTCTGGATGGAAAAGAGGTCCCTA